TTTAATTAATAATCTGTTGATTTTTTTTTTACTTGGACCAAAATACCTTTTATATCCAATTCAAAATCAATGACATGCTTCCGGATCTACAATCGGAATCAAATAAGGAATTAGATTCAATTTACGGGATATCGATGTTCTAATTACACAAAAGCCCGTCAACCCTTTAGCCTTCTGGTGCCAGAATGTCAAGCTTAATATTTTGCCAACCTTTCGGCTCAGCCCATTTGAATGCCAACAGCTACATGTAGTCAACATGGCGTTAGCTAGCAACAGTTAGCTGACGTTATGCTGCCGTTAGGTTACAGTTGGAATTTGATTTTTTGTTTTTTGTTTTTTTTTTTGATGAATTTAAAAAAGAAAATTCCACACTTTGAATTCGTCTACTCCTAAATACATTTTATATTTGACGTATATCATCTCGAGTTGACTCTTAGGACATCCAGATGTTTTGACACCTCCAAAATACGTATACGTTCTAATTATTTTTAGTCGAGTGTTACATGTACCTTAAAAAAGACAATCAAATATAAATACACACAAAAAGAAAAAGACAAAAACATAAAATAAAAACTGGACACTGTCCGGATTATGACCGTTGAATCCAGCTGTACCAAGCCACGTCAGCACGATTGGTCTACTCGTGGACCCCGAACTCGGACCAAGCTTAACCTAAGCCCTCTGATTTGGGAGGCCCAACATCCGGTGGTAGCCTAGGCTTCTCTGCTTACTAGTTACTATGCACCTGCATGTAAATAACAGCCGTCCGATCTCTGACACACCCACACACTCTGCGATCATCTGGCTTACAACTTCACCCCTCTCTCTCTCTCCTCTTTCTGTCAGCTGCTTCCACAAACCTCAAAAGGAGCTCCCTTTTTCTTTTTTTTCTCCAGTCCCCTCTTTTATTCTTGCCCTTTTGGCCTTTTGGTTTCTTGGGGTTTTATACAAATTAAATTTTCTTTCTGGGATTTTTTTTCTTCTGCGGGGGGGGTTTCATTTGTATGGTTTTGGAGGGCAGAGAGGAAGGATTCCATGGCTGCTCTGCTATTCTTCTTCCTATTGGCGGTGTCTGCAGTTTCTGCTGAAGAAGGTAAGCTTTTATGCTTTTCTGCACATATGTTTTAGCAACTCTTTAAAAACTTAAGCTTTCATTTGTCAATAATCTTTATTTTTGGATGCCTGCATTGTGTTCTATGAGTTCCTATAATCCAAAGACCCTTCCTTTCTTCTTGAAGTTCCATTTTTTTGGCGCTTTGATGCGTTTCCTATGTGGGTTTTTGCCTCCTTTTTTCTGGGTCTTTTTTAAATTTGTTCAAATGATTAGTAGTTTTTTTGCTAATTAATCGGCAAAGTCATTGACTTTATTGTGACTGATTTGATTTGATTTGAAGTTTCAATCTCTGCTGCACTTAAACCATGTTCTTCAAGAAAAATGCAGACCTGGAGAAAAGGTGTGTGTGAGAGAGTGGGAGAGTGGGTGCATTCAGCTGATTGGGGGGGGGGTTTCTGAGAGAAAATCTTTCCCTTGTTGAAAGTTTCCGATCTGTCGTCGGCTTTTCAATTTGCGTCCCAACTGGTCCAGCTCATTTGGCAGTCTTTTGAGCTCTAAAACCCCATTCTAATACAAATGGGAAATAATTCGTGGGACCAAAATAGCCTTGTTGGAGATGGAAAGGATAGTGTTAAGACTTCAATGAACTGGGGTCCTGCAAAATCCGCTTCGGAGGGTATTGTTGTCATATTAGTTTGAGGAGGATAGCATGTGCTGTAGTTGGTCTTATATTATATGCATAAGCCCATCACTTCTCTCAGCTGCTTCACACTGAATTTATATAAGAGGCATTTTAGAATGATAAAACTAGATTAAGCAGGCAGTGTTCTACTTGCACTAATTAATATGGTTTCGTACTCCATATATTTATCGATATAGATATATTTGTATCTGTGAATCTATAAAACAACCTAGATTCTTAATGTTTTGAGTGAATTCTTATTTTAATCAAACGATGTTTGTCAACCACAAGGAATCTGTAATGGTTATAATAGGATTAGTTTTGGTTATGCCCATTGTATCAATGATTACAAGCTTGTCAAGATTGCTTATGGATACATGCTACATGTGTTTTCATTGAAAAACAATTAACGGCAAAACATTCAAGATTTTCCTTGCAAACATCTTCTGAATGATAATGGAACATATCTCAATGGTGCTATGCACTGGTTATGCGGGCCCATCGGAGTTGGCACCACCGGTTTCTATCACAGATTATCAGAGATTTACGACTGGTGTTTTGGGAGGGTGCATTTGTTTACTATTCCACAGCATCGGCACTATCAAGCAATACTGGTTTTGGATTATGAAAGATTATAATGTGAAGGAGTCTTGGACTAGGATTTTGATAACCCCACTCATACGTTTCTCTACAGCCATTGGGTTACTGGAAGAATGGCAAGATATTACTGGTGAGAGATAGCAGGGAATTACTTCTGTACAACACGAAGGATGGTAATGAAGGCCTAACTAGAGTTGGTCCTAACAAGGTGACGAGGGCCAATTAAGCTAACAATCTCGAGATGATTGTACATGTCAGATTTATGAGTGATACTGTCTGTTCTATATGCATGATGAAGTTAATCTGAAGATGGAAGAGATTTTAATCGCAGGCTTTTTTCTTTTCTAATCTAGCACTCGTTGTTAATGTTTTGCAGATGCTGTAATTGGTGTAAACCTCGGTACAGACGTCTCTGATATGCCTAGCCCAACTCAGTGATGGCACTTCTTAAAGCTCAAAATATTCGACATATCAGACTCTATGATGCAGACAGAGCCATGCTCCTCGCTCTTGCAAACACAGGCATCCAAGTGACTATTTCGGTTCCTAATGAACAGCTCCTTGGGATTGGCCAATCCAATGCCACTGCTGCCAACTGGGTTGCTCGCAATGTGATAGCCCATGTCCCTGCCACCAACATCACTGCTATAGCTGTTGGATCTGAAGTCCTTAGTGCCCTCCCAAATGCTGCTCCAGTCCTAGTTTCTGCCCTGAAATTCATTCACTCTGCACTTGTTGCGTCTAACCTTGACCGCCAAATTAAAGTCTCTACTCCGCACTCTTCCTCCATTATTCTCGACTCCTTTCCACCATCCCAAGCCTTTTTCAATCGCTCGTGGGATCCAGTCATGGTTCCCTTGCTCAAGTTCTTGCAGTCTACTGATTCATATCTCATGCTCAACATCTACCCGTATTTTGATTACATGCGCTCCAACGGTGTAATCCCCTTGGACTATGCACTTTTCCGCCCTCTTCCTCCGAACAAGGAAGCTGTGGATGCTAATACACTGCTACATTATACTAATGTATTCGATGCTATTGTTGACGCAGCGTATTTTGCAATGTCCTATCTAAACATCACTAATATCCCCATTGTAGTGACCGAGTCAGGTTGGCCCTCCAAGGGTGACTCATCAGAGCCAGATGCCACACTTGACAATGCCAACACTTACAACAGTAACTTAATTAGGCATGTGCTTAACAACACGGGGACTCCTAAGCATCCTGGGATTGCTGTTAGCACTTATATTTATGAGCTCTACAATGAGGATTTGAGACCTGGGTCTGTCTCTGAAAAGAATTGGGGGCTCTTTAATGCAGATGGAGTGCCGGTTTATACCTTGCACTTAACAGGTGCTGGAACCGTGTTGTCAAATGACACAACGAACCAAACCTTTTGTGTTGCGAAGGAGGGTTCCGACAAAAAGATGCTACAGGCAGGCTTGGATTGGGCTTGTGGGCCAGGGAAAGTTGATTGCTCGCCTTTGCTGCAGGGTCAACCATGTTATGAACCGGATAATGTGCTCACACACGCAACATATGCTTTCAATGCATATTTTCAGCGGATGGCCAAGGCTCCTGGAACTTGTGATTTCAAAGGGGTGGCTACTGTTACTACCACAGACCCAAGTATGGAATCATGACATGTTTATTTGCATCGTGGTTTCGTGTATTACAGACTAGCTTGTGAGCATTGATAAAACTTAAGTAGTGAAGACTGCATAAAGTCAAAAACGAAAAATTTTGGTTTACGGCACTACCAATGTGTTATAATATGCTCTTTTGTTGGTGCAAATCTTGCTTTGTTACTGATAATATTTCATTGCCAACTCTTGCAGGTCACGGATCTTGTATATTTCCAGGAAGGTACGAGTTACAACTCTCTCATCTTATTACGATCATAATTTAACTTCCAAGAGACTGTTTGGAATAACCTAATGAAACCCTTTGTTTCCTTTTTTTACTTGAATGCAGTGGCAGAAGAAATAGCAGTTCCACCAACGGAACATCACTGGCACCATCTTCTAATTCCACAACTTCCGGGTGCCTTTCACAATTTTTCTACACTGGCGGTTCCTTCACAAGCTCTGTGATCATCGGTTTCTTAGTTCTGAGTGCAGTTCTGTTGTAGAACATGATGAATTTGTATTTCCTGCGAAACTCCTTTGATGGAAAGGAAACATTTTTTAGAGACTCCGTTAGGCACCTGTTGGGAAACTTGCAGCAATACCCAATTTTGTACCCTCCCAGGAGGAATTAGGGGGTGGCAAGCTTCGATTTGAACATATAGGCAGCAGCAAATAGGAGTTGAAAGGTGAGTACCTGTCCATTGGAATTTGTTGAAACAAATCGGAAGGGGGAGAGCATTTAGGATTGTTTTCTGCACCTATCTTGTTTGCGTAAATCTGGTTTTCGCTGACGGTTGTATTCTTTTGGTCTAGACTTTGATCTGTCCATTTACTCAGCTTGACGAATTCAAGATGTATGATCTTCGTGTAAATCTGCCTGCTTTCTTTCAATCCGACCGACTTTTCTTTCGTAAGATTTTGCCAGTATTAATTTCAACTACTGAACAGAAGCAAATGCAAATCTACGATGAACTTTGCATAACAAACGTACAAAACGAACCCGGTGGATCGAGAAGAACAGTATTTGCTGCCGGTGTGTTACGAATTGGGTTTTTGAGATTACAACTGATGAGCAGGTTTTTGCAATACATTGATAACATGACATGAATTTACAACGTTTTCACTGCAACAGATGAAACGAATATTTCACGTACACGGAACACAGAGTGTCTGCAACTCCTCATGAGAAAATACAACTCATTAGTGCTTTTAGTATACAGCGGAAAATCATAATATCGTCACACGTACGAGCAACGATAAATAAAAAATTGACGGACGTTGTCAATGGTCCAAAGGCTCGACGGCTGTTTTGAAGAGAAGAACGTAAACCTTGTCGATCGAAAAATACAAGAAGCCGCCAGTGGAATGTGTCACGTACGAACCGAAGCTAGTTCCAACAATGCAGTGCCAAGCCGGACCATACGATGAATCGAAATCCTGTCAAGAAATACAAAAACAACATTGTGAACTCTCTATACAAACCAAAGCTAGTTCCCACAATTTCAATGCTGCATGTTTCACCACATCATTACAATCTCAGAGCATCAAAAGTTACAGCATAAAAACAGAAAATCTGGTGTCACAGTAGTTTCCCAATCGGGTGACGAACAAGGTAGCTAAAATTGCATTCCCGTGCGACCCGCCTCTTTAAATTGACGCATAAATGCAATGGTGTTTTTTGAACAGCAAATTCAAGCTGAAAAATTGATTGTGAAGTTCGAATTTATCGAGAAGTCTCAGATAATGAAAATTTTCTGGAGAAGCACTTCCGAATGCTTCTTCAGGAAGCACTTGAATAACAAAAATTTCAATGTTTATAATGGAAGCACTTGTAGTAGAAGCGCTCATGAGTAGGAGCGGTTCCTACAAAAGCAATCCCAAACGAGAAGATTTTTGGTCCCCATATGATCAATTACTCAAAACACTTGTACAATACAATCAGCATTGCAAGCATGCCATTGCCATTTGCCACTACAAACCCACAGCATCGAAACCCAGTAAGAAAAAGCAAACCATAATATGATAAAGGCAAAAGATTTGACCTTTTTAAGTGCGAGAGCGAGGCCTTTGCTGTCGAGCTTCCCGGGCATGGCGTCGAGGTGTTCCCGCGCAGACCGAAAGGCGCGGTTTTGCAGAGTGATGGGCATGTCAGAGGCCCTGACTCGGACATTGAGGCTATCACGGTGATCTTGTTCCTCCACAGATTTCTTCTTCTGTATCAAACTGCTAAGGAACTTGCTCCGCCTCTCCAGCTCCAGCTCTGCTCTCTCCATTTCTCTCTTCGCCGATGATAATTTCACGCTCATATCAGTCAAAAAGTGCATTCCATGTGTTTGCGAGCAGTCCCCAAAGAAGAAAACGTTTAAAAAAAAAAGGAGAGAAGGAAGAGGGAACAGAGATCTCGATTGCAATGTAATTTGGGTTATGTATTTGCTGTTGTTTGTCTTTCGAGGTAGGTGTAGTGGTGGACTGAGGAGTCAGCTTTTCCGTACTCCGATTAGTAGAAAGCTGCCGACCAAAACAAACGGCATTGCCTAATGACAAATGAGAAATGTTAAGTCAGACTCTCTACAAATCCTCTGACAGATTATGGTTTAACGTTAATATCTGTACTAATATTATAAAATATCGTGTCAAAGACATGAGGTAACAGAGAGTTCATGAATAATTCACTTTGAAAAAGTCTCATTATCATTTCTCATGCCAAATAATCGTTTGTTTGAGGTCTTTGAAGTAAAATTGTCTACAAGGATAGATTTTTTAGGGTGTTGTGAACACGGTCAGGTCAATTGGTTGGAAACTTGACAATAAAAAAATTTCAACCAATTATATTATTACAGTTGGTGTTATTAGATCGTATTCCGGCACATTGAAAATTTGCTCATAGACTTATATTTCAATTAATTAAGTACGTTTACCATATGCTTCAATTTAGTATTTACAATGTGAACGTAATTACATTGACAAGAAGGAATGTATTCAGCATCCAAAATTGAATTTTCCAATTACAAAACCATATGTTTCAATGATTAGAATAATCTAGTATTTCTAAAGCAGAAGTATTTTTCACTCCAATCGATAATGAAGGGCCTCAATTTTTTCAGCAAACCCACGATAATTGCGGGGAAAAGGAGGAAACCACGATTGGGTCAGTCAGTGTCAGTGGATCCACCACATGAATTTCTTTAGGTGTTGACGTGACTGATATTGCAAATGATTTTTATCAATTCCTGAGATTAATCAAATTCATCATTTTGATCTCTCACTTTCAAAATCAATCAATGTCAATTCTAACATTCACCACTGCACATCAATTTGGTTCTCCCGTTTAGATTTCATCAACTATTTCTATTAATTTGCATGGGGACCCACAAATCCAATAAAATGATAACACATGGATTACACAAAATAAAGGTTTTTATCACAATTGGTCCCTGACATTCAATACCGCACATCAATTTAGTCCTTGAGTTTCAAAACTCAATAAATTTGGTCCTTGACTTTCACTTCTGCACATCAATTTAGTCATTTCGTTAAAATTTCGTCAATATTTTTTGTTAGTGTGATAATATGGTCGCACTAGTCCAATCATATGGTTGGATTAATTATAAAAAATATATATATATATTTTAAGATTTAAAACTAAAAGTATTATAAGAAATTAAAAACAAAAACTAAAAGAAAAAAAAAAGACGTCCTTGTCTTCATCTAGGTATGCTAAAAAAGAAAAAGAATGCTCCATGACCCCACTAAAGCTTTTGTCCTCCGTGAACTCACTTATCATTCTCTCTAGTTGGTTGTAATCTTATCAAATTTGAATTGAATTTGAATTCGATTTTATCGAATTTAGATTGAGTCTTATTTTCCAATTGGGATTGTGGGATGCGAGGGAAATGTCAATGCGAAATACTCGCCAATTGATTCACTCTAAAAAAAATTAGTTTCTTATAGTTAATCCACTTGGCGCCATATGATGGAACTAGTGGGACCGCATCAGCACACTAACAAAAAAATATTGATGAAGTTTTAATTGAGGACTCTATTGATGTGAGATAGTGAAAGTCAAATACCAAATTTATTGATTTTTGAGACTCATGAACCATAATAAGGAGTTTGATCAATGTCAGGAACCATTTGCGATAAAAACCCTTCTTTTGTATAATCCATGTGTCACAATTTTATTGGATTTGTGGATCCCACATACAAACTAACAAAATAATTGACGGAATCTAAACGGAATGACCAAATTGATGTGTGGTAGTGAATGTCAGGAACGACATTGATTGATTTTGAAGGTGAGAGACCAAAATGATGAGTTTGGTCAATCTCAGAGACTATTTGTGATAAAAACTCTATTGCAAAACATAAGAATGTATTTCTATTCTTTTGTTGGTCACGCGGCACCTGGAGTTTGAACTGGAAAAAAAAAAAAAAATAATAAAAATGACTTGAAAATTTTGAATTTTAATCAAAAAGATAAAAAAGTGTTGTAAGTGCATAGTACAAAGAGTGACTTTTTAGAATAAAAATATCTTTTTTCGATAAAGTAAACATTACCAGGAGTGTTTCGTTAAAACTCTCCAAAAAAAATTTGCAATCCCCCGTCTTATAACTTGCCCATGCCACCAAAATCGAACATATTCCTTTATTTTCAACAAATCGAACATATTCCTTTATTTTCAGCAAATCAAACATATTCCTTTATTTTCAACAAATCGAACATATTCCTTCTTTATTTTCTGTTTTTTTGGTCTTCAATTTTGAATGTATTGTTATTTAGGGTTTTTATCACAAATGATCCCTGAAATTGAATAATCGCATCAAGATAGTCCTTGAAATTGAAAATTAATCAATGTAGTCCCTGAAAATGAATGTTGCAAATCAACATGGTCCTTCTATTACAATTCCATTAAAATTTCTGTTATGTGCTTATGTGTAACATTCCACATTGCCCAGGAGAGTGGATCCCGTAAGTTTTATATGTATATTTTCATCTCTACCTAGCACGAGACCTTTTGAGAGCTCATTGGCTTGAAGTTCCATCGGAACTCCAAAGTTAAGCGAGTTTGGGCTAGAGCAATCATAGGATGGGTGATTCCCTGGGAAGTTGCTCGTGAGTTCCTAGAAACAAAACCGTGAGGGCGTGGTCAAGATCCAAAGCGGACAATATCGTACTACGACGGAGTCGGATGGGGGAAATGGTGGAGCCCGGGTCGGGATGTGACAATTTGGTATCAGAGTCAATCCATAGCCGGAAGTGTGCCGACGAGAACGTCGGACCCTTAAGGGAGGTGAATTGTAACATCCCACATCGCCCACGGGAGTGGATCCTGTAAGCTTTATATGTATATTTTCATCTCTATCTAGCAAGGCCTTTTGGGAGCTCACTGACTTCGAGTTCCATCGGAACTCCGAAGTTAAGCGAGTTTGGGCTAGGTCAATCTCAGGATGGGTCCCCCCCTGAGAAGTTGCTCGTGAGTTCCCAGAAACAAAACCGTGAAGACGTGGTCAGGGCCTAAAGCGGATAATGACGTGGTCGGGGCCTAAAGCGGATAATATCGTGTTACGGCGGAGTCGGGCCTGGTAAGTGGTGGAGCCCAGGTCAGGATGTGACATTATGTGTCATATAAATGGATCCCACAAATCTAATTCGACTGGGTTTCTATCGTGGTATATTATGTTTAAATGGATCGAGTGCCAAAAATGGAGCCATGGTGGGCAGGGCTGCCATGGTAGCCAAGCTGCTCGACGAAGATGACGAGAGAATTTTTTATTTTATTTTTTTCAAAATTTTATAGTAATATTTAATTAGACCTGTGAGACCTACTTATATGACACATAAGCACATAGCAGAAATTTAAACAGAATTTTAAAGCAATTGTAACGAGATGACCACATTGATTTGCGACATCAATTTTCAAGGACCACATTGATTGATTTTCAATTTCAGAGACCAACTTGATGGGATTGGTCAATTTCAGGGACCAGCTTGATGGGATTGGTCAATTTCAAGGACCATTTATGATAAAAACCATATTATTTATTTGTATCATTATACATGACGCTCATATTACAACCGTTATTCATATTTCATACATTGTACATACCCATGTATAAAAGCATGACAACAAACTTAAGTACACATTAAATACAGTATATAAGTTATAGTGTCGAAAACTCTACTATGTTCTAAAAATACACTGAGATAATCGTAGTGAACCACAGTCTACATGGTGTTTCATTTATCTCGCCTCATGCCTTTCTCCACCACCGGACTCATTCCAACTTCCCTTTCCTTCATGTTTCCATTCCATCCTAATTGTTTTATTATTCAACATTAATCCAACCAAGTCAATGCAAAGAGAACAAAAAAAAAAAAAAAAAAAAAAAAACCTAAAATATAGAACTCTCAACTCCATCTAACCTTTATTTAATTAGGAAGGTCAGTCAGTTTGTGGCCAACACAAAATATTAACAAATTTGCTTCTAGAGGGTCTCAGCCACCCAATTGAAAAGACCTTTCTTCTTTGTAATATCGTTTCCTTTAAAATATATATAAATCTTAAACAAACATGAACAGACGTACTAATTAATTATGATTAGTAAAACCTAACCTAACTCAGGAAGTAAGGAAGACATAGGTACTAATTTATGATTAAGGAGATCCAGTTTTATATATTAATGTGGGGAGTTTATTGAAACCTTTGAATTCAGAATATGATAAAGTAGCTAATGGGCGGATAACTACTCTTTTGATGGGTCTCGTAGTGGTTCTATTCGCAATATTTCTATCTATTATTTTAGAGATTTATAATTCTTTCATTTTACTGGTGTAACTGGTTGTATATCCTCATATTAATTAGTATTAATCATGTCACGCGACACCGATTGATCGCATCTTTGAATTTAAAGGAAGAACTAGAAATAGAGAAGTAATTACCAAGTTTCATGTCGAAACCGCGAGACTTGAGCTCGCGGTACTCTTGGCACAAGGCGCAGCCCTCACAGAAGCAATGAACCAAGCAGTCACCACAAGGGCTCTCTTCCAGGCTGTATTGCTGTCTCATTTTGGAGCGGTAGACGCATGAATAGATACATGGAAAAGCCGTCACAAAAGCAATCAGTGTGTACAGCGCTCCACTTGCGCCACAAGCTGCATATAATTTAGTTAATTAATTACTTAACCCTCATTAATCGGTTACTAATACACCCCAATCCCATTTAAAAGGAAGGAAAAGGAAAGGAAGAAGATTAATTAGTTAGTTACATGTAGAACCCTTATCGACAATCTCTGCAATTTTGCCAAAAGTGATGCATGGACACCAAAGTGTTATGCAACCTGCATGTAGACATACACAATAACATGAATAATTAATTCAAAAGTAGAGAAAATGATCAATACATGATCCAAATTAATCCCCACTATAAACAACCTTATCAAAATAATTACAAATCATTTACGCTATAAGAAAATCTGACAATAGTGAGAATAATATGTATAATATATATATATATATATATAAATATATCTATATATATCCCATTTTTATACAGTTTTTTGGATCGGAGCAGCAGTCGAAGAGCCCGGTGGACCAAGGAACGAGGTCGCGATGGCGACTGTGGCCACTTTGGGAGCTCATGTCTTCGTGAGAAGTAGTAAAATAAGGTTCAGTCAGTGTCAGTGTATCCACCTGAATTTCGTCAGGTTTTTCTAATGTTGACTTGACTGATATTGTAAAACGTAAGAACGTATTTCTATTTTTTTATTAGTCACGCGGCACCCGGAGGTGAACTGGGAAAAAAAAAATTGCAATCCCCCGTCTTATAACTTGGCCATGCCGCCAAAATCGAACATATTCCCTTATTTTCAGCAAATCGAACATATTCCTTTATTTTTAGCAAGTCGAACGTATTCCTTTCTTATCAACAAATTGAACATATTCTTCTTTATTTTCTGTTTGTTTTTTGTCTTCAAATTTAAATGTATTATTATTTATTTGTATCATTATTACAACAATTATTCAATATTTCATACACTGTACATGCCCGTGTATGAAATCATGACAACAAATTTAGAGTAAACATTTAATACAATATACAAATTATAGTGTCGAAAACTCTACTATGTTCAAAAAATGCACCGAGATCTTCGTAGTGAACGATAGTCTACGTGGTGTTTCATTTATCTCGACTCATGCCTTCCTCCACCACCGGAGCCACCGGAGTCATTCCAACTTCACGGTTCCTTTCCTCGATGTTTCCATGCCATCCTAATTGTTTTATTATTCAACATTAATCCAACCAAGTCAATGCAAAGAGAACAAACAAACATTAACCTAAAATATAGAACTCCATCTAACATTTATTTAATTAGGAAGGTCAGTCAGTTTGTGGCCAACACAAAATATTATCAAATTTGCTTCTAGAGGGTCTAAGCCACCCTATTTGAAAAGACCTTCCTTCTTTGTAATATCGTTTCCTTAAAAATATGTATAAATCTTAAACAAACATGAACAGATGTACTAATTAATTATGATTAGTAAAACTTAACCTAACTCAGGAAGTAAGGAAGACATAGGTACTAATTTATGATTAAAAGAAATAAGGAGATCCAATTTTATATATTAGTATTAATCATATCCAGACAGTAAGACCTATAATAGGGTCAGAAATTCTTGGGCATACAAAGTCAACAGATCTTGTTGAATATAAAATATATTATGGCTACACAAACCGTTGAAGGTAGTTCTAGATCTGGCCGTCCAAGACAAATTAATGCGGGGAGTTTATTGAAACCATTGAATTCAGAATATGATAAAGTAGCTCCTGGGTGGGTAACTACTCTTTTGATGGGTCTCGCAATGACTTTATTCACGATATTCCTATCTATTATTTTAGAGATTTATAATTCTTTCACTTTACTGGTGTAACTGAATGTGTATCCTCATATTAATTAGTATTAACCTTGTCATGCGGCACATTGCTTAATTGCAACTTTGAATTGAAAAGAAGAACTAGAAATGGAGAAGTAATTACCAAGTTTCATGTCGAAACCGCGAAACTTGAGCTCGCGGTACTCTTGGCACAAGGCGCAGCCCTCACAGAAGCAATGAACCAAGCAGTCACCACAAGGGCTCTCTTCCAGGCTGTATTGCTGTCTCATTTTGGAGCGGTAGAAGCATGAATAGATACATGGAAAAGCCGTCACACAAGCAATCAGTGTGTAAAGCGCTCCACTTGCGCCACAAGCTGCATATAATTAAGTTAATTAATTACTTAACCCTCATTAATCGGTTACTAATACAACCTAATCCCATTTAAATGGAAGGAAAAGGAAAGGAAGAAGCTTAATTAGCTAATTACGTATAGAACCCTTATCGACAATCTCTGCAATTTGGCCAAAAGTGATACATGGACACCAAAATGTTATGCAACCTGCATGTAGACATACACAATAACATGAACCATTAATTAGAGTAAATGATCAATACATGATCCAAATTAATCCCCAATATAAACAACTTTAACAAATTAATTACAAATCATTTACGTTATAAGACAATCTGACATTAGTGAGAATAATATATATATATATGCCGTATTTTTATATATACGTACAGTTTTTTGGACCGGAGAAACAGTCGAAGAGGCCGGTGGACCAAGGAACGAGGGCGCGAGGGCCGAGATGGGGAGGTGGGTAGGTCATGTGGCTGTGGCCACTTTGGGAGCTCATGTCTTCGTGAGAAGTAGTGAAATAAGGTTCAGTACCGGAGCTGACCGGGATACCGGTGGCCGGTGCATCGACATGTTGGTGGAGGTGGTCGGAGGAGGAGTACTTCTCGTATCCATTTGCGTTTGACGAGTACATGATGGTTGAAGATTGGTGGGGAACAATCAGCGATGAGGAGGTTGAGATAATATGATCTCAGTTCAGACAGAGAGAGAGGACTTATAGAACTTCGGCTTATTGACTTCCTAGTCTCCTTTGTCTGCGGCTGCGTCATGCGTGTCTTCCTGTGTGCTTCCTTGCTTACAAATCTGGGCCGGAATTTTTGAAGGCCCAGGGTAAAGCCTGTGAAAAATATCTATTTTATATAAAACAATTTTTAATTCCGAATAAATCTCGGAGTGATTTTTGAACCTCTATTTCACGTTTTACACTTTTTTTCTTTTTTAATTTATTCAATCGAATGACTAAAAAAGATAGGTATACAAGTATCACAATGTGCGGAGTAACCACGAGAAAGAAACGATTTGTGTAAAGCAAGACTCTAAAAAGTTCGGATACATGAGTTAGATGAGTCGTTGATTCGGATAAATGAGTTAGAGAATTCGTTGTTGTTACATTCAAAAGTAATCAAAAAGCCGTTTGCTTGCATTACCAGTGGTTTCTTCATCAATTTGGGATTTGGGTACAATTGGAATATTCCAGAATAATTGGGGGGTAGGGTACGTGCATGGGTGACCTTAGCTTAGCGCACCACTACACTTCTCTCAATTTACATTTGGGTACTGAAATCAATAGTGGGCTGAAAAATATGAAAGTAGGCCCACCAGCGGCGCATTGATGTAAGTGGTGGGCTCGGATTCTTGGAAGAAAGGCCTCGAGTCCGGGAACGCGTCTGAGCTGTTGGGCCCACCAACCACTGCTCCCACCAGCAAATTTGGGTTGGGATTTGGACTCAAGAAGTATCTAGACCCGGCTTTACACCCGATACGGGCCGGGTGGGCCTGCACCGATGGTAGCGAGCTGCCCCGGTGGTGTATCCTCTGTGGGTAGCGTGCACCGTATCCCACCATATACGACATCCTCAATGGATTATCACCTAGAATGTAGTCCACCTGCATAAAAATCAATTCCAAAATTACAATGTTGTCCTCACATATTCTTGTTCACGTGGGTGCCCTCCGGATGAAGGTCAGAAAATTAAGGTTAAAGTCAGACAGGACAAGATCAAAATCTAGCCGTTAATTTATCTTCGTTATCTAAAGATGGTCCATGACTGAATGTATGGTCATAAACTCGTAAGATCATGAGAACTGGCAGAACTCTCGGGCGATTGAAATACTGTCACAATAACATTTCACCGTTGCAATAACATTCCATGTCGGAGAGAGACGCATTAGTTTTCATGAATTACCTGGCGTTTGGCCAATTGTTTGAGGAAAGCAGGGGAGGCAGAGGTCTCGCCACATGGCACGTTCTTATTGGCATGGCTTAGATAGTTGGAGTAGGACAGAAGTAGGAATGAAAGTGAGGTCACATGCTGCATGTTACTACCTCCTGGCTTGAATATCAAGCCACCTTCAAAAGAGAAAAACTTAAATCAATTTACTAAGCTCAATTAGTGAGTTCCACAAAACAAAACAGAAAAATTAATTAGTAAGTAATTAAAAAAAAAAACAGAGATTTGCCCATGAAGCAATTAGCATAGTCCTACAAAGTTTATGATCTTATTATTTTATTCTTTGTGATCATAAAAATATCATATACCAGGAGAATATTGGACTTGAGGATGAGAAAGTCCAGGCAGTATGGAACATATAAACTCATCAGCATTCTGCGTGAAAGATTCGAAATAATCTGCTTTTCCCATAAGCACTTCCTGCAGCCAAATCCAAAAGCACATTTAATTTTTTGATTTTTCTCTCCTGTAGATGATGACAAACACTGAGACTGACACATGCATTGTGTATAATAGCTAGGTTTCAATTGCAAAACCAACGAATCGAAATCCGCCATTCATGAATCAAGATAATCCTATTTCATTTTCCAATATTCTTATATTATTATCTATATGCACTGCAAATAAGATATAGCAGATCGATACTTCCTTGCTTCAGAGCTCCAAGTGACAACAGTTGTAATGTATTCGTGCCGGTAGAAAAGACGCGTGAAAATCATCTCAACATAATAATGCACATAAAATACAAGAAATATGCGGAAATCATTTTCCCGTAAAAGGATAACAAGATATAATAGAGTGGGAAAAGGATTACGTTTTGGAATCTGGGACTGGGAACTGAAAGGCCCTTAACAAGGGGTCGCAATCGGTTCCAAGAAAAGTTGGGTTTGTGAGGCAAATAATACGTCTGAAGGGAAGAGTATGGGAAGAAAGAAGGAAAGAAACCCATCGTCTCGCTCTCAGAAGCCTTTAAGCACATGCATGCAGCAGAGACTCAACTCATTTCGTCCACCCATGGGACCCACCAGTCCACATGGAAATGGATGACCACTTTGCTGCTTTTCTCTGATTGAAGGGACAACACAAAGGCAAAATTCCATTCCACCCTAAAGTCACTTCTACCCCTCTTGCATTATCTCACTTCCTTCTTATTATCTTTAATCCATCGGGGTAATTTCGACTATGTACTGTCTAACCTAATAATTAGCAATTGAAAGCCTAATTGTAAGCTAAAAATGGATCTTGTCTTAGATTCACGCACTTTTTTCCTAAATTTTCTCGACTATTTTTTTTCTACATGTTTTTTAACTTTACATGACAAATGCTTTGCCTGTTGAGTTATTAAATCCAATTTGCACTGAGATGTACGGATCGCACCACCACTTAAAATACAAAGATCTTTGTTTGCTTAACATATTCGAGTTGCTCAAAACGGTATGCCAAAAGGGTCCACAAGACAACCAAAAACCACGGTGCACACATTGGATAATGTTAATTATTTGCACAAACTCTATGTGACATAAAAGTTAATGGTATATTTTTATCAGCGATGAGAAATGAGGGGAGACAAGGGAGTCGAGTGAAAAGGCGAAAAAGAAAGTTAAGTCCTTCATGACCGTTTGATTATTGATTAAACGG